CATTTACTGGACAGTTTGGCCCAGTTTTATTTTCTGGAGTTTGTTTGCGCCATTTGTGACGCGATCGTGGAGTTTGAGCCGCTTGATGTTATACTTACAGTCATGAATATGACGAAATACGCATTTGAGTATCCCACGGGGATTATGACGAATTGAGATCTATTTACTTGTGAGTTAGTACACCGCAAATGAGACTGCGATGATACCTATTTGTCGATCCGCACGGTGATGCGATGATACCTATTTGTCGATCCGCACTATGATGCGATGATACATATTTGTCGATCCGCACTATGATGCGATGATACCTATTTATCGATCCGCACTATGATGCGATGATACCTATTTGTCGATCCGCGCGATGATGCGATGAGTTGGAAGAAGTTCAGAATGATAATATTATAAACTATTTACATGAGTATTTGGCGGATGCCAAAAGTGTTTCTACTCATTGTTGAGATACTTTGCTATACGAGTACACGAGATACATATGCTGATGCTTTACTTTCCAGTTATATTTTGATTGCTTAGTTCAGGGTTAATATTTAGTTATTTACTACCTGAGACATACGGTATATACATGAGGGTTTCCTTGTTTGGATTATTTCGCTCGACGTACTACGTCTCAAGTTGTAAGTTTCTAAATATTAATTCCATTAGATACAGGGAAAATGATCTAGGTAGACTATGCTTAATAGATAGAGCCTCCACTTCATCATCTAGCAGCCCTTCCCCTGGGGGCGGATGGAGGTGAACTTGCTGTAGCGCTCTGACGCTCTTGTTGTTGTTCTTTTTCTTTTATTTTATTTCTCATTTCAGGCGGCTCAGAGCATCGGAGAGTCGCAGGGTGACGGAGTTCTTGCATAGTCGCCGTCGCGTATTTTTACTAGTATGGACTCCACAGTGATCTTATGTTTCCATTTAGTCATTTGAGTTTGTACTCATATTGTTAAGGCAATATGCCTTAGTACGATTTCTAGTCGATTCATGTTGAGACATATCATGTTATTTTAGACTCCAGATGTATATCAGTTGTATTCCAGTTTAGTTTATTTGGGACATGATTTCATTTATGAGATATATCTTTCCGTATCATGTCTATAGTATTTATTTCCCTTATTTGCCTGTTTTGTACCTTCATTTATATTGGTTTCCACTAGAGGATATTACTGTGATTGGTGAAACATGTTGTTGCACAGTGGAGGTGCATGACAGGTTTGACATCTCTGGGTTCACCTTGGACTGCAGCCAAGTGTGAAAACAGGGGCGTCACAATGCTACAATTCAGAAAATTACTTATACGCGTGGACAAGGGGTAGGCTATGAACATAGTAGGAGATCTTATCCTATAGCCATTTTAGGATTTTAAACCCTTAGAATCTCACACGGATGGTACGGTCTTGGATGATATGGTTTGGCACAACGAGGACGTTGTGAGTTTAAGTGTTGGAGTATGTAATACCCCAACCCTTGAGAGGGTGATGTGATTAGTATTGATAGATTTGATTGGAATACTCATACCACCAAGATGCATCTTCTTTTCGGGAACCCAACTCTTAGAAACTCCAAAGTTAAGCGTGCTTGGCCTGGAGAAATTCTAGGATGGGTGACCCCCTGGGAAGTTTTCCAGAGAGCGCGTGAGTGAGGACAAAACGTGCTGAAAAGACATGTGGTGGTTTGTGAGGCCAGTCCATCAGATCTAGTAGCGTACCGACTCCGAGATTCCGGGACGGGGCGTTACAAATGGTATCAGAGCTCTAGTTCCAGTATCCTTAGGATCATCCTGTGTTGAGTCGTGGAGGTAGAATAGAGTTTCCTAGGATTCATGTATAGAGTCCGATAAGAATTTCCTAGAATGAGTGAGGACGATATATGCGTATATCTCAAAATTTCAGAATTTTTTTTATAACAACTATTTTATGTATTTGCATGAATACTATGTGTTATGGGTACTTAAGCGTGATACATTATGTTATGTATATATGTATGTTTGCGACCTCATTTACTGTGTCAATTAAGCTCTCCTCTTGATATTATAAATATCGGGACGAGGACGTGATCGAGGTAAAACTCGTACTCGGAGAGCTGGGCAAGCAGAGCCCAGGCCGCAGCAGACTCCACAGTATCTGATCGACGTCATGGTGCCGTTTACAGTAAGATTTTTGCAACACTTGAGGAGCGAGAGGAGTATCTGTTTCCGTTTGTAGTACCACTTTTAGGAGTGCCACCACCGATTGTACCCGTCGTGCCAAGTGAAGAGGCAATACCAATGAGTACACCACCACCACAATCAGCTGTTGATAGAGCCGCAGAGCAGGAGGCTTGGCTTAGTAAGATTGAGAAAGATATCAAACAATGAGAGCACCATAGTTTTAGGGCACACCAGATTCATGTGCAGCCTATAAATAAAAGAAATATGTGAAATTTTCTTAACGTCGACTCAGTAACAAAACAGAAGTTAGATGTAATCAGCGTAAAGGACATCACCGGAGGATAGCAATGACTTTATATTTTCGTCGGAGCAGCAAATATCACTTATTTGAGAGAATTTTATTTACTTCTTCGACAAGCAGTTAGAGCTAGTCCGATTGAAGCAGCGAGATATGCGTGTAGTTAATGAAGAAATCAAAACCAGCATGGTGACGATGGCAAGGACAAGGGGCCTAATGCAGAATCTAGAGAACCCCAACAACTGTGTAAAGATTTTTACCACTATCAACAAGGACAGTATAAGAAGAGAACACAATATAATTCGAGAGCGCCGTAGCAACCCAAAGTTTAGGGTACATGTTACAATTGTAACAAGATCAGACAAAGAGCGAAGGACTTGTCACAGTACTCCAGCAGGAAGCCATCTTGACAGAGGTCAGGGTCGGCAGTCTCAGAACCGCAATTACGCCAGCAGCGAAGGATAGAGACACTACCTGTTATTCCGAGGATTGAGGGGCCAGTAGGCCAGATTTGCATTATCCAGGAGATTCCTAAGGGACAGGTGGTCCTATATATTTTCCATCACTGATAGAGTTTATGCAGCCGTATCGCGTGATCATGGTACGAGCGGAGCTTTCTTCGTTTAGACCTTATTTTATTTAAAAATTTCGCATTATTTTATCTTTCATGCATTTATGGATAGGCTTCAGCTTAAAGCACATCCTATAGATGTTCCGTTATTAGTCTCTACTCCTTTAGGGGAGATATCCCTATTAGAGAGTACCTGTAGGAGCTGTATCATCAGTCTAGATGAGTTCGAGTTTCTCATAGATCTGATCGTGTTGCGGATGTCGGATTTCGACGTCATTCTCGGTATGGATTGGCTTTCATCCTACCATGTTAGTATCGATTGTTTTGCTAAAATAGTCAGCCTGTGAGCTTTTGTTGGGTTTATATAGATAGTAGCAACCTCATAGGGTAACCAGAATGCGGAGTTATTTCTGGAATACGTCGAGGAGGTGATGCTGAGGGACCAGAGTGCTGATTTTTGTGAGACTAGAGTTGTCTCAGTTTATCAGGATGTCTTTCAGGACATACCTAGGTTACCTCCTGTGAGAGAGGTTGACTCCTGCATCGAGTTGCAGCAGAGCACTTTACCGATATCCCGAGCACCCTATCGTATGGCACCTGCTGAGATGAGGGAGCTACAGACTCAGCTAGATGAGCTTTTGTCTCAGGTCTTTATTCGTCAGAGTCATTCTCCATAGGGAGAACCGATCCTCTTCATGAGGAAGAAGGACGATAGCTTATGATTATGTATAGATTATTGTGAGTTGAACAAGTTCGTTATCCGGATTAGATAGGATTTATGACTTGTTCGATCGGCTGCGGGGAGCGCAGCATTTCTCGAAGATTGATCTTCGTATTGGTTATTTTCTATTACGGGTTCGGGAGATGGATATTCCCAAAACTTCCTTTCTGACTCGATATGAGTCTTTTGAGTTTCTTGTCATGCCATTTGGGCTGACCAATGCACCCGCGGTGTTTATGGATTTGATGAACCAGGTTTTTCGTCCATACTTGGACCAGTTCGTGATTGTATTTATTGATGACATCCTTATTTATTCGAGATCGGAGGCCTTTGAATGAAAGGCAGATTAGTTATGCCAGCTAGTGCAGAGCTGAAGAAGGAGTTGCTTGATGAAGCGCATTGTTCTAGGTACACAGTGTATCCAGGCACAACAAAGATGTACAAGGACCTGAAGAGACACTTTTGGTGGAGCGGCATGCATAAGGAGATAGCAGAATATGTCGCTAGATGCTTTACCTGTCAGCAGGTGAAGGCAGAACATCAGAGACCAGCAGGAACCCTACAGCCTTTACCCATTCCGGAATGGAAATGGACGTGTATCTCTATGGATTTCATTGTGGGGTTACCGAGGTCAAAGAAAGGGAACGATTCTGTTTGGGTGATAGTTGATCGGTTGACGAAGTCAGCACATTTTATACCAGTGAGAACTACCTACACCGCCGAGACTTATGCGAGAATCTTCATTCGGGAGATAGTTCGACTACATGGAGTTCCAGAGACGATCGTGTCGGATTGAGGCTCAGTTTTCACTTCGCATTTTTGGAGGAGCTTTCAGGATTCGTTTGGCAGCAGATTATCATACAACAGTGTATTTCACCCGCAGACAGATGGGCAGACGGAGAGAGTAAACCAAGTCCTGGAGGACATGTTGCGGGCTTGCATTTTAGACTTCCAGGGCAGCTGGGAGGACCACATACCTTTGATCGAGTTCGCTTATAACAACAGTTATCAAGCGACGATTGGTATGGCTCCGTATGAGGCATTGTACGGGAGACCCTGTAGATCCCTGATTTGTTGGGCAGAGCTGGAGGATAGCTTATTGCTTGGGCCAGAGCTTGTGAGGCAGACTGCTGAGAAGGTAGCATTGATTAGGGAGCGTATTCTTGCTGCTCAGAGTCGACAGAAGAGCTATACAGATCAAAGACGACGACCTTTGGAGTTTCAGGGTGGAGATTTTGTTATGTTAAAAGTATCACCAATGAAGGGTGTTCAACAATTCGGCAGACGAGGAAAACTTGCCCCGAGATATGTTGGACTGTTCCGGATTACCGAGCGTGTTGGAGCGGTTTCATATAGACTAGATCTTCCAGCATCGATATCAAGTGTGCACGATGTATTTCATGTGTCGATGCTCAAGAAGCACCTACGCGACGAGGAGCAGCAGAGGGTGATCGATACATCTGAGATCGAGATTCAGACAGATTTGTCCACCATTGAGGTGCCGGTTTGCATCCTTGCTAGAGAGGACAAGAGACTAAGAAATAAGGTGATTCCTTTAGTTAAATTTCAATGAAACTGGAAAGGAGCTGAGGAGGCTTCTTGGGAGCGCGAAGAGGATATGCATCGCGACTACCCACACCTGTTTGAGCAGGTAAATTGATTGATTATGAATTGTTTGTGTTTATAATTATCTATATGATTATATTTATATTTAATACTAGAATGAGGGTATTAACACTTACCTCCTAATCATTCGGAACACATGGTATATATATGGGGGGGTTCCTTGTTTGGATTTTTCGCCCGACGTACTAGTTCTGCTTAGTTAGGGGTTAAGTGGGAGTATTCGCTTTCTAAATTGTTAAGTGTAGATATAGTTATATTTCATATCTGGAGATTAATCGTATGAGATGTGTATGTGAGGGTTTTCTTGTCTGGATTATTTCCTCAATGTACTTTTCTCATATTATTAATCTCTAAGATGCGATTGTGGAATTTCGAGGACGAAATTCTTTTAAGGGGGGAGAATGTAAAACCCCGAAAATTTTGAAAATATTATTATAAATGATAATAAATGAGTTTTATTATGATTGGTGATCATTCTGGGATGAATGGATTAGATTGGGAATCAATTTGAGATCGATTCGCAGTTTCAGCCTCGGTATCGCGAGTCTACTGAAAACTGATACTATTTTATTTTTAAAAATTTTTCTATTGATCAGATGAGCACGAGATTTACGCCATTGATCTTAGAATGTCAAGAATGTGTTGTGGGTAAAGTTTCATTGAGTTCTGACGACGGAGACTGAAACACTAATTTGAGACGGTATCGCGTCTACTGACATCCATTGTATTTATATTTTTAATAATTTTTATGTAGACCAGATAAATATGAGGATTACACCATTGATCGTAGAATGTTGAGACGTTCTTGTGGGTAAATTTTTATTACTTTCTGAGAATGGAGATTTGAAACTTAATTTTTTAAATAATAAAAATTATAAAAATTATTTTTTTTCCTTTTCTTTTCTTCTCTCCACCTACCCCCACCTACCCCGCTCCTCTCTTCTCCTATAAAAAGGGACCCTCACCTTCACTCTTCTCACACGGCAGAATGAAAGAAGAGAGAGAAAGAGAAGGGGGGAGAGAGAGGAAGAAAAGAAAGAGAAAGAAGAAGGGGGTTTTGGCAATTCGAAAAGCAGGAACAGATAGGGATTCCAATTTCAGAGATCAATAAAGGCAAGTTCATCTCTTTCCAAACCCATCCCCAGTAAATTTTGATCTTGATGAATATACATGATATTGATGAATATACATGATATTGATGAAAAGACATGATATTGATAAAAATTGATGAATATACATGATATTGAAGAAAAGACTTGATATTGATGAAAATTGATGAATAGAATATAAGACCAAATTCCTAAAGACATGATATTGCCAGCTAGAACCATACGTACATGTCTACCGCTGGAAATACTGTTACTATTTTATACGTATGATACTATTCATACATACGGTACTATTCATAAATACCGCACTGTTCATACGTACGATACTATTCATAAATATTATTACTATTCATATGTACGGCACTATTCATAAATACCGTACTGTTCATACGTACGACACTATTCATGGGTACTATTACTATTCATGCATACTGGGGGGTTACTATTTATAAATACCGTACTGTTCATACGTACGGCACTATTCATAAGTACTATTACTATTCATGCATACTGGGGGTACTATTCATACGTACTGTTATTGTTCATACATATGACACTATTCATAAGTACTGACACTATTCATACGTATGGGTACTATTTATACATACTGTTACTATTCATGCATACGGTACTATTCATACGTACTGTTACTATTCATGAGTACGGATACTAGTCGTAAAGTACCGTTGTTATTAGTAAGTACTGCTACTATTCATAATTAGTTATTATAGCAGATAGTCGGGGTTGGTAACCCTGACCATTTACTGGACAGTTTGGCCCAGTTTTATTTTCTGGAGTTTGTTTGCGCCATTTGTGACGCGATCGTGGAGTTTGAGCCGCTTGATGTTATACTTACAGTCATGAATATGACGAAATACGCATTTGAGTATCCCACGGGGATTATGACGAATTGAGATCTATTTACTTGTGAGTTAGTACACCGCAAATGAGACTGCGATGATACCTATTTGTCGATCCGCACGGTGATGCGATGATACATATATGTCGATCCGCACTATGATGCGATGATACATATTTGTCGATCCGCACTATGATGCGATGATACCTATTTGTCGATCCGCGCGATGATGCGATGAGTTGGAAGAAGTTCAGAATGATAATATTATAAACTATTTACATGAGTATTTGGCGGATGCCAAAAGTGTTTCTACTCATTGTTGAGATACTTTGCTATACGAGTACACGAGATACATATGCTGATGCTTTACTTTCCAGTTATATTTTGATTGCTTAGTTCGGGGTTAATATTTAGTTATTTACTATCTGAGACATACGGTATATACATGAGGGTTTCCTTGTTTGGATTATTTTGCTCGACGTACTACGTCTCAAGTTGTAAGTTTCTAAATATTAATTCCATTAGATACAGGGAAAATGATCTAGGTAGACTATTCTTAATAGATAGAGCCTCCACTTCATCATCTAGCAGCCCTTCCCCTGGGGGCGGATGGAGGTGAACTTGCTGTAGCGCTCTGACGCTCTTGTTGTTGTTCTTTTTCTTTTATTTTATTTCTCATTTCAGGCGGCTCAGAGCATCGGAGAGTCGTAGGGTGACGGAGTTCTTGCATAGTCGTCGTCGCGTATTTTTACTAGTATGGACTCCACAGTGATCTTATGTTTCCATTTAGTCATTTGAGTTTGTACTCATATTGTTAAGGCAATATGCCTTAGTACGATTTCTAATCGATTCATGTTGAGACATATCATGTTATTTTAGACTCCAGATGTATATCAGTTGTATTCCAGTTTAGTTTATTTGGGACATGATTTCATTTATGAGATATATCTTTCCGTATCATGTCTATAGTATTTATTTCCCTTATTTGCCTGTTTTGTACCTTCATTTATATTGGTTTCCACTAGAGAATATTACTGTGATTGGTGAAACATGTTGTTGCACAGTGGAGGTGCATGACAGGTTTGACATCTCTGGGTTCACCTTGGACTGCAGCCAAGTGTGAAAACAGGGGCGTCACAGAGATCGATTAAGTACATATAATGAATATATATAGGTATAAACATGCGTGCATACAGGAGAAACTATCGGCTAAAAACACTTTTGGTCGGTCGAAGGGCCCAAGTAATTGGTCGATCGATGGACATTGGTCGGTCGACTGATTATTGGAATCAGTCGACTGATAGGTGCATAGACTAGGTTTTGGGTCGATTCAATTTGGGCCTGTTTGAACACACACACACACACACACACACACACACACACACACACACATTATAAACCTGATTTTTTCTCCTCTTTTCTTTTGTATTTCCCCACATGAATAGCAACCACTCTCCCCTCAAAACTCTAGAGATTTTCTTTCGAGTTTGGAGAGCTTTGAGAAGTAAAAAGCTAGAGGAGGGAGAGATCTACAATGTTTAGTGAAGGAGGATCGCGTCTCGTGCGTGTTTGGGAGTTCAGCACGACTTTTGAGGCGAGTTTCATCTCCTCCAATCACATCCCCGTTTTCCCTTGGTTTTATTGGATTTTTAAAACCTATTTTTATGAGTAAAGATCACACCTTTTCCCTGCATGATTTAAAGATCTGACCTTTTTGATTTAAAAAGTTTTGAAACGGATCCTTGAGTTGGATTTTTGATTTGAAGTAAAGTAAACACGGGATTTTACTAATTTGATTGGTTTTTCATGATAAATTTAAAAATATTACATGCTAGGGCTAGTAGATCTCCTTAAATATTCATATTTGTGTTTTCATGCAATAGAACAAACCCTAATTACCTTAAACAAATGTTAACACATGAGTTCTGTTCGAAAATTTTCGATTTTAATGTATTGTAGATAAAAACCTAACCCTTTTGTGCGTCAGGCGTCCGGAGAGTCCCAAGTTGACGGAGATCTAGTCTAACTCACCGTCATCCATTAGTAGTTAATTAGTGCTCCACAGTAGTCTATTTTTTTTCCAGTCTTATAGATGTATTTCATGTTGGAGGCTAAGTATTTTAGTACTATTTGCACTTGACTCTTGTGTTTATAGATTTATTACTCTTACTTTAAAATATAAGTTGTATTTTCTTTTTTTTTGTTGGAACATGATTACATTTATTTTTGGATTTTTTCTTTATATTGTGTTCCTTGTTGTTAGACCCTAGAGAGGGGGAGGGGTGATTAGGGTCTTATGCTAATCTAATCCCAATTAAATGCTAATTAAAATAATATTGATTAGTTTGTTCTTGCAAGAATGATATAAGATAGATATGAGCAAGAAAGATATGAATAATCACAAATAAAAGTACGCTAAGCAAAACACAAACAAACAATATGTTTACGAGGTTCGGTCACCACGACTTACGTCCCCGCTCCTCACCTTGAGGAGATCTTCACTATCACAATCCGGTTTGGAAGCCGAAATTTCTACACACGGTTTACAAGCTTACCGAAAAACTCTCACACAACAAACACTATGCAATCACACTTTACACACTAAGTGTAGGAACCTAGCCCGTGTCCTCCTCCTCAAGTGCTTGGATGCAACCTCTCCCTAGGTTCGTCAACTGACGCCACTCCTATTGGGTTCGACCCCGTCTCTCGCCTCACACTTCTCTCGGTGTACAAGTGTATTACAAGTGATACTCACAAATAAAGGTTAAATACAATGGTTTGTTTTCAACAACAAATGAGAACGCAAATGAAGCTCACACTCACTAAATCACACTCCACAACCCACAATATATAGTATGGAATATTAAGCTCAATACAGTGTGTGTGATAACAGTGAATGAAAAAGTATAACTCAATAAATATAGCTAAGATATGAAAATAAAATTATAAGCTATATAAAAAGATGAGTTATGAAAACTT